ACTCAGAGCATGAAGTAAAAAATAAACCTATGGGTTTCTCTGGATTAATGTCCATGTTTGTTGCTTGCTGCATTCTGACAGTATACACCTCTTAGGATTTTGCTGAGGTAAGGCTTCCCTTCTTGGCCCCTGCAAGTGCACACCTCTTCTCTTGCACAAAACTAACAAAGCTATTTTAAAGGCAATGGTTTATGCTTTCCTTTTCTTTTTAAACAGTGCCGATCCATTCACAGCCCCTCCAATGTGCTACTTGGCCAATTTGGAAGGACTGTTAACTTGGAGAGCAAAAAAACTTGAAAAAAGGGAAAAGGGAAGAAACTACAGCAAGCATTTGCAGTAAGACAGGACAAGGTGGTTGACCAGTCAGCAGGATAGCCTTAAAATGCAATAAAGTATATTGCATAAATCAATAACAAAAGAAACAAGTAAAGTTGGAATACTGTTATTAGAAAAAGGTGACTTAATGGTACGTTGATTCCAAACTGAAGTGCACAAACCAACCCTTTTTTTATGACTAGTAACTTGGAGCATCTGATGCTTCTCAGCTGGTCTGTCCTCTTGAACTTACACAGTACCCTGGGATTACTAATGCTAGGTCCATCCTCCTCCTCATTAGCCTGCTTTCAAAGCTTTGCCACAGTATTTGAAACCTCTTATCTCTGGGTTCACTGGTCTTTGCATTTCAGCTGTGGATTTTAAACCAGCTTCCTCATCCCTTGAAAACTCACCATACCCCAGTTATCTGCCTTGGGTACCGTGAGTTCTTCTGTGCACATCCAACCCGCTGTTGGTAATTCTCAGGATGGCTTACTGTGATGCACATTTGCTCAAGGAAAGCATAGTTATTCATTTTACAGATTGTCTAGAGGGATTTATAGAGATGGTTAGCTTCCTTATAATTCTGCATGCCAAAATGAAATGAGGTCATGGTTAAGTAGCGAGGCTGTTTTTAAAAATATTGAAGAAAATCATTTAAAATAATGACAAAGATTAGTGCCCTTTCTGAAAGTATCTAACTTTTCATTGTGCCAGATTACTTCAGTTTCTTAAGATAAAGCCTCAAATGATTGCTAATTTTTACTGTAATTGTGATTTCAGTGGGCTTATGTTGTTTTCCATGGCAGTGATTTGTCCTCCATTACATAAATCATATAGATATTAATAGCTCTCACAGGTCCCAGAACGCATTTTATTGCATTGGTACCTTGTGCATGGCCTCATGACAAGCCATTTGAAGAGACTGCAATGCAGCAAACATGCAAACATACCTTAGCTGGTGGTGGCTAAAATCCTGATAAAAATACTGTCCATATTCATTCACCATCCAAGCCCTTCCACTTACTTCTCCATCAAGTAAAACATTGTTTTGGTAGTGGTACATTACCTCTGATTGTGCGTAGTTCTTGTTCAGATTGACAAATGAATTTTGAGCCAGTGGCACCTCAAGTTATGAGATCATTGGACCATATCTATCACAGTCATTAAACAGCTACTGAGAAGGAGGAGGCGATATTACATTTCTGTACTGCCTATAGCTGAAGCTCTCTGGGTGGTGGTTCACAACATTTTAAGTCACCCATCAAGATTTCAACCAGACATGCACATTTCTTTGGAAATTTTGCCTCCAATTTGTGGATGGGATTTCAGCAATTAGGTTCCTGTCTAGCATTCCTAGCATTTCCCAGGTAGCATAGCTGCCTGGAGGCTGTTGGGAGTTGTAGGACTTTTTTTCATCTAAACATGCATGCTATTTCACCCTTAAACTTGTTGCATTTTGGAATAGGAGAGGCTTTCACCCCCACCAACACCTCACCTTACGTAAACATGGCCATGATTGCTATAGAGTAGTTTAATGTTTGGCTGTTATAGTAATCAGTGAAAGATTTCACATACCTTGGCTCAGTCTTCAATTCAAAGGGAGACTGCAGCCAAGAAATTCAAAGACTGAAACTTGAAGAAGCAGCAATGAAGGAACTTTTCACTAACGACATGGAAGAAGGGGTGAACAGTCAGCTGATCAAATTAGCAGATGACACTAAAACTGGAGCAGTGGCCACAACTGAGGAGCAGGTACTCCAGATCCAAAAGGATCTGAACAGACTATGGAAGTGGGCAGGAGACAACAGGATGGTGTTCAATGTGCATAAGTGCAAGGTCTTGCACTTGGGGCATAGGAATAGCTGTCATGAGTACAGGTTAGGTGACAAGTGGCTTGAGAGCAGCACTTGTGAAAGGGACTTCGGGGTACTGGTTGACCGCAGGCTAAACATGAGTCAGCAGTGTGATGCGGTGGTCAAGAGGGCGAACGCCACCCTTGGTTGCATAGCCCAAAGTGTGGCTTCTAGATCAAGAGAGGTATTACTACCACTCTACACGACTATGGTGCGCCCACAACTGGAGTATTGTGTTCAGTTTTGGGCCCCCCATTACAGAAAGGATATAGCCAGGTTGGAGTCCGTGCAGCATAGGGCCACAAGGTTGGTGGCCGGTTTGCAGGGGATGCTGTATGAGGCAAGACTGAGGGAACTGGGTCTCTTCAGCCTGGAGAAGAGGAGACTCAGAGGGGATCTGTTAGCGACATACAGGTATGTGAGGGGATGTCACATGGAGGTGGGTAAAGACCTGTTCTCCCCTGCAGAGGAAGGCAGGACACGCTCCAATGGAGCAAAGCTCAGGGAGCCAAGGTTCCATTTGGATGCCAGGAAGCACTTCCTGACAGAACCCCGAGCGTGTGGAATGGGCTTCCACAAGAGGGCCCCATCGGTGCAGGTGTTCAAGGATAGGCTGGACATCCACATGGTGGGCATGTCGTGAGCGGAGCCGGGTTGTGCCGGAGGTCAGAATAGATGGCCCGGGAGGTCCCTTCTGACTCGCTCTGTTTCTATGTTTCTATGAACTGGAAAAGATCATCGAGTGTAAGGCCATTTCACTGGAGACCAAGGTCAAGCTCATCCAAACTACTGTATTCCCAATCACAATGTATGGGTGTGAAAGCTGGACAGTGAAGAAAGGTAATAGGAAGAAAATTGATACATTTGAAACGTGGTGGAGGAGAGCTTTGCAAATACCCCGGAATGACAGAAAGATGAACAAGTGGGTCCTAAATCAAATCAAGACAGAGCTCTCCCTAGAAGCAAAAAGGACAAAGCTGAACCTGAGATGCTAAGGACACCTTATGAGAAGGCAAGACTCCCTGGAGAAGACAATGTTAGGGAAAGTTGAAGACAGAAGAAGAAGAAGAAAGACCAAATATGATATGGACTGCCATAGCCTTGATCTTGGAAGGGCTGAACAGAGCTGTCATAGACAGGACATTTTGCGTGGCTTTCATTCATAAGTCACCATAAGTCAGAAATCATTCGACAGTATATAACACACAGTAATCAGTATGTTTTTAAACATGTTCAAACTCTCTTTCTCTCTCTGTGCACGCACATGTATGCGTGTGCACATGCACATGTGCATGTGTGATAGAGATACCAAGACTGTGTGTGTTCAGTCTAGTTTAATCCATGACTGAAATTAGTTTGATAGGAAATATTACATTTAATAACTTCAGCCCTTGAATCATGTTTGTTTAAGGAAGTATGTAAGCAATGCAGAAAGCAAGAACTCTCAATCTTCTCCCTGTTACCATATTGGTATAGAGTGCCCAATTATCCTTGGATGTGGTTGTATTGCGGAACCATATATGACCACAATGGTTAATAGTACCCTCAAGTTTTTGTTCAGGGATATGGGTTAAACTAGAGTATGCTTGTTGTGATACCTTGTCCCAGTCTTGGGGACAGGGCTGCTATAGCCTGTGACCCCAGTTATGAGTCAGACGGGGAAAATATTGAGTCAGACCCAGCCCTTGGAAGCTGGACACCTCAGGCTTCAGTCTTCCAGTCATTCCACTGGCTTATGAACTGACAGAGGGTTAGCTGAGGGGCACCGATACTGCCTACCTGGGAGAACTGTCTTGCAAGAGGCCTCAACTTCTTGACCAAAGGTGTCTTCCAAAGGAACAGAGCAGCAGGAAGAGACCACCATTTCTGCGGCCGAGGAAGTTTCAAGGGTGTGTGCTAGCTTGCATCATCAGTGCAGAGCAGAAGTGTCCCAGATGCACAGCAAGCATCTGAGACCTAGGTTTCTCTGCCAAGCTCAAATGTCCAATATTGATCTTTAGTGGCCATTGCTTTCAGCTTAAACTAGAGCAACTGGCTGATTTTGCTGGAAGCAACAGACTGGTAACCTGGGAAACATACAAATATAGAAACACAATGAGTCAGAAGGGGTCTCCTGGGCCATCTAGTATGACCCCTGGCTCCAGCCAGCTCCACTCATGCCATGCCTACCATGGTTGGAAACAACCTGGTTTGATCTGGAACTGAGAACTTACAGGGATGTATTCTGTGCTGAACCCAGGACTAAATGGGTTTGTCATGATACTAATGGGCTGATTCTGGTCAAAAACCTATGTGGTAATCTGTGAAGGATGGCTCTGAAAGCTAATTATAGGAATTATTGAAATAAAAGGTTGTGAATTGTGCCTCAACTCCAGAAGGTCAGATTGTGACACTTATTCTCTGTTTTTTATACTACTCTGTAGAAGCTCCAACTGCAGCCTCTGATTCTCGTACAAAATTAAAAATCATAATGCTAATGCAGAAATTGCAAAATATCATATTTTCAGCCAGGTATTCCTCAGAAAAAATAGAGAAAAGTTTTAACAACCAGTAGAAACTTGCACTTGGCTTTGCTTTTGAAATGGATCCTCAAGATAAATTTTTGACATATAAAGCTGCATATATTTTCATGGATTATTTCACTGTTGATTCTTTTGTCCTGTGGTCATTTTCTCAGCAAAAGGATGCTCCTTACACAAGCAAGTATATCTTATGCAGCATCTAGCGTTCTTTTTGAGTGCACAGTAACATTGTCTAATGTGTCTAGTGTGTAGATTCTTGGTGCAAATCAGTATTTCTTGTACTTATCTTCTTCGTTTCTTCAACCAGATGGCTGCCCTGATTTGTGCAATGGCAATGGGAGATGCACACTCGGTCAGAACAGCTGGCAGTGTGTCTGCCAGACCGGCTGGAGAGGGCCTGGATGCAATGTTGCTATGGAAACCTCCTGTGCTGATAACAAGGATAATGAGGGAGGTGAGCAAAAGTCTTCCAATTCCCAGCCCCTAAAGAACAGAGGGTTATGTGCCGTTTCGTCATGAGTCATTTTACTAGAGAAAGACCCCCTCTCCTACTATTGTCAAGTGTTGTTGTTACATTTCCTTTGAAACAAATGAGATGGAGGAACTAAAGTTCTAGTGGGGAAATTGATGTGACCTGAAAGCCTTCTTTTAAAATAGAGGGCTTGATTCATCTCTGGCAAAACTCAGGTTTTGTTACTGGAGTTTACAGTTAAGACTTGCATAGAGTTTAGGACACAATGGTACCTTCAGATGTAGACCTTCGTGACCTAAAATTCCAGAAATACCAGTATTTCCTACAGTTAATTCAAACTAAAGCACTGATGATTAAGCCGCATACCTTGAAAGGTATTGTTTAACTTCTGTTAGGGGCAAAGAAGTTAGAATTCAGGGCAAAGATAACACCAAATACTTTATATGCTACAGTTCACAGGTGCAGAAGGTATTTAAATGGAACAGCATATTGATGTGATTGTTTAATTTAATTATGATGCAGGAGCTTAGCCATGTATCATTTTTATTGAACTCTTCATTGGTAAAATATAGAAATTCTTGTCTTCATGTTTCTGTATCACCTGGGACTGGACATACTCAAAATCTATGGTATGGATGATTGAGATCTGGGTTGTTGATTTAGGTGAACCGATCTACACTATCAAACAGTGTAGTCACAATGACCCCAGAAAGAGAACACATGGTTGCTGTTGGATTGTGAACTTTTGGTTACCTAAAACATGGGCTGTTGCATATGATCCACAACTTAACATGGCAAGTGGGTTTGAGAGTGTCAGAGCCACCCGGAGGCGGACATTTTCATTAGGCGGGTCTCCTAGCAGGGTTACCCAAGGCAAAATGGCCAAAGTAGAGACTCCAATAAGAGGCAGCCACCCTTTTCAGTACTAACAGTCACATCTGCAGAAAAGAATGGATATATCTAATGGTGGTGGGGCAGAGAAACATCTGAAGAGTAGCTCCTGGGCAGCAACAGTAGCTGGAGGTGACACTGACAGAGGACTTTTCACAGAAAATGGCAATGATGCTCAAGGTAACTCTGGCTAGTACTATGCAGAAGAATGGCAAACCACTCCTATTTTCTCACCTTGAAAAACAATTTACTCGCTTTGGATTGATGAAATAATCTTAACTGAAACAAAAGATAGTACCAAAAAGAGAGTTCTAGGTCAGAAGGCACACAACTAGCTACTGGGGAAGAGCAAAGGACAAGTATGACTAGTGCTGTTGCTAATGGCAGAACTAGATCAAAGCTGAAAGGAAGTCTGGTGGCTGACGTGCACAAAGGCAAAAGGAAAGTCTGATGCTGGAATGTAAATGAAGGTATGAATCACGTTCCACAGTTTTGCTGGAAACTGTGCAGCAAAAATGGAACGGTTAAACATCACAGTACTTGGTATGAGCAAACTAAAGTGAACAAGAATGGGATATTTTCAGTCAAACAAACACTGTGTAAATGACAAACTCAAAAGAAGTACTGAGTAAAGATGTATCAGAAGAAAATATGTAGTAAGGAACTATAAGGCAAAATCCAACTGAACCATATTAATGAAAATTCTCCAAAAAGCTGCCAGTGTAACTGCTGTTCCAGTTTACAATCTGTCAACAGATGCTGAAGAAGGCATCAAAAAGTTTCATGTAGGTGTTCAAGAGGAAATGAAAATGAGACATGCTGATAATCATAGGTGATTGGAATGCAAAACTGGGAAACAACAGAATCAAATATTGTGTGATAATTTGGATTGGGGTCAGAAACAAAACAGGAGAATGACTCCTAGAATTCTGTGAAGCCAACAGCCATAAATATCATAAGTGTCATACATACATACGTCAGTCTATTAGAGAACTGTATTTGTGGATGTCACTGGCCAATATAGAAATGAAACAGGTTATGCAATTGAAATCAAGAGATGGAAAATCTGTCTCTCTGCTGCCAAAACAAGACCAGGAGCAGAGTGTGGTAGTGACCATGAATTCTCAATATATCAAAAATCAGAGCAAAGATGAAAAAGATCACTAATAGAAGCACAGTACCAAAATACAACTTAAACAACATTCCTGAGAAAATTAAAATCTGTGTAAAGAACACATTTGCATTGCTGAACTCAGTTGGTTATCAAGAGCCAGAAGAACTGTGGACTGAAACCACAGACATTCTTAGGAAAGACAATTCCTGTAGCAAAAAGGGAAAAAGGGGGATGGGGAGGGCTAGATGGATAACTGAAGAAACACAATTGCTAAGGATAGATGAGAAGCAAAAGTAAAAGGTGACACAACAGGAATACAGAAAGACAAACAGGGGAATATACTATCTAACCAGCAGGAAATAAAGAGAAAGTGGAAACAATATATGGAAAAACTGTACAAAAGAGATAAAAGGATGAAAAACCCCTTCAAGGAGGAATCTTATAAGGAAAAGCTGCAATATTTCTAATTGTAAAATTGTAAGCACTAGGTAGGATACTATTAGGACCCCAGCATCTGCCGAATCCAAATGGCAGATTCTGAACTGGTCCAAATTCTAACAAGGATATGTCAATAAATCTGGAAAACAAAACAATGATCCACAGACTGGAAACATTCAATATACATTCCAGTCCTCAAGAAAAGAGATGCTAAGTATGCAGCAAGTATAGGACCATTGCACTAATTTCCCATGTAAGCAAAGTGATGCTCAAGTTGCTGCAACAAAGAATATTACCCTATGTAGAATGACAAAATATGCAAGCTAATTCTGAAAAGGACAAAGCACTCAAGATCCACAGAGTGAATATGGGTGTCCATCAAATAATTTCAGGAGAAAATCAGTCTATGCTTTATAGACTACAGTAAAGCTTTTGACTATGTGGACCACAGAAAGCTATGAATGGTCCTGAAACAAATGGGTATGCCTCAGCATTTGTTTGTCCTGATGTGTAAGCACCTACTATGTGGACAGAATATGAAGAAGAATTATTTTCTATAGGCAAAGGCATCACTCAGTGGGTTACCTGGCCAGTCTGTGCACAGAACATATAATAAGCAAAGCTGGAATAGGATCAGAGGAAGGAGTAAAAATTGGTGGAAGATATACAGTAATTTAAGATATGCAGCCAATGTCATATTACTTGTAGAAAGCAACAATTGAATTGTAATTTCTGCTAAAAGTGAGAAAGAATGTGCAAAAGGAGGACCATGGCTGATTCACAAGAAAACAAAAACAAAAAAGAGTACAGAAGAATTACAGAACTTTATTTTTAGGAACAAAAAAATTGAAATAGTGAAATATATTCCATTCCTTGGCTCAGCCATCAATTCAGATGGGTACTGCAGCCAAGAAATCTGTAGACAGCAGAGACCTGGAAGGGAAGCAATGAAGTATTTAGAAAAGATCGTCAAGTGTAAGGACATATCCCTGGTGACCAAGGTCAAGATAATCCGTACTGTGTATGGGTGTGAAGGCTGGTCAGTGAAGAAAGCTTACTGGAAGAAAATTGATGTGTGGTGCTGGAGGAGAACTTTGATAATGCCCTTGATGGACAGGCTGATGAACAAGTGGGTTCTGGATCAACTCAGAACTTTCTTTAGAAGCAAAAATGATGAAACTAACATTGTTGAAATTTAAGAAGGTAAGACTCACTAGAGAAGACATGCGAGCACATGTTGAAGGTAGAAAAAGAAAAAGAAAAAGAGCAAATATGAGAGGGATTGACTCCATGGAGTGGCTGAGCAAGGCTGTGAAGGACAGGGCATTCTAGGCTATTTGGGGGACAACTTGACAGTATAAAATACGGACTGTTTCAGCAGCCTACCGAGGTGTTTATGTCTGTGTTTGCATGTATTCATTTTATATGTCATTTCTTCAACAGTGCAGTTTGAAATACAGTAGGGAAAGCTCTTGGGATTGAAAAAAGAAGCCATGGTTAGTTCAGTTATCTACCAGACTTTCCACAGTGCAACAAATAGTGTTAAATAAACTATGGCCATCATTATGTGTAAATCAGCACAAGTGTTCTTAGTACCCATGAAAGCTGGGAGAGAAATCCAGTGGTACACTCCTAACATGTGCACTCCTAACATGTATCTTAGTAGCAATGGTACACCCAGTGCTCACTGTATCCGTTTTGACTCCTTTAGCACAGAGACAATTCTAGTCATTCTGTAGAAATACATCCACCTGTGTGAATTGTTCCATTCAATCCATATTTAAGTGATTCCCTTTTGTACTTGCCCTTCTCCTTTACACAGAGCCATGTTGGCAAGGGTTTACCCCCAAGTACATGAAATAATATTGTCAAAGCAATCATTGATTTAAGTTACTGCAGTTTGCTTGCATTTTCGGACTTCAAAGCAAATCAATCATTTTTCCCTAAAGCTGTTCAGTCAGGGAGATTTCCCAGGATTTGATGCTTCCAGATACCCCAAAAGTGAGCACAAATGCTAATTTTGGGAAGGAGCAGGTTGGCATATTTGATATAAGGGAGTACTGCTGACCCACCTCCTTCCACAGATGAACGTTTCCACTCATTTTGGGGATTTCCCTAGGATGAGTAAGCAGCAAGTCCTGTCTACGTAATGGAATTGGCAGGACCCACCACTTAAGAAAGGGAATCACTAGGGTGGAAAGAATTAGCAGGAATGTCTGCACCCATTAGATTCTGGCCCGAAACTACCAGAAACATACGTTGTCATGTACCCAGCATCTATCTCACAGTTACAGAATGCGGTTTCCCTGCAGGATTACCTTCATATAGGGTATTTGTCATGCTATTTGCATACACCATTTTTATCTGTTTGCATATTTCTCCTTAGCAATGGATACATATGCAGTGCACATATATAAAAGTACAGCTTTGGAGCAATTATACATAAGCTTCTACAAAAGTGAATCAGATACCCAAATCGTACCCATTCCGTAGCGATGTATTTATGCCGCTTATACCAATATTGAAAGTGTTGTAACCT